CTGTATTTGGCCCATTTAAAGAAAGGGCATACTTTTGCCAGCCATTAATATTTAGAAGATTACATAAAATTGAACAGGATTGTTGGAAGAATAAAAGGGACATCACTAGTACTATATAGTTACAGTTTGCAGAAGTTTATATTTATTAAGCACATCTGGGCAGCAATGTTGTTAGGTGTCTACATTAGCAGTTCCTGCTATGCTGCCAGGATGTCACTCATTACACTTATGAAAGATGAAAGGTGAATGAGTATGTGGAAGGTACATGATTATATGGAAACTGGTAGAGTTCCAAGACAAGCACTGGTTAAAAATGTTTAGGTGTGACAAATTCACAGGACTGTGTGTCCCCACATTGCTTTAGTTCTTTCCATGGTGACCTTTCAGGATGGGCTGTCTCTGAAGGGAAAATCCACAACCGAGCTCTGTGGGGGACAGATTAACCCTTAGAAGGTCAAGCACAATAGTAGGAAAATAGCTTCCAATTGCTAGGTCAATTATCAAGCGGTTCCTGCGACCTTTCCATTGCCAAGCTATTTATGTAGTGTCACTTATGTTAATGACAGTTCAATCTTGGTGAGTTTCATCATTCTGCATGTCCAAAGACCAACTTTGCATGTATTCCATTTATTTTATTAAAGAAGTGTGTTTACCTGTTCCAAATATCTTTATTGCTCAGAAATCAGATCCTAATTTAACAAATGCACACATGTAAAGTCGTGACGTAACAATTACATTTCAGTGTTATCAGATATGATAAACAAATGAATTTGTGAAATGGCATCATCAAATAGTATTTCTTCCCAGCTAAATACAGGGTTAAAATATGTATTAAAATTGTATATCTATTAAAGCAGAACTCCGGGCAACATTTCTATTAACCCCTGCAGTGGGACTCCCACAGTTAACTGCTCATTTGTGTCTAGGGACTACAATAAAAAATAAAAAAGTTATACTGACCTGATCTTTGGAGCCAGTCGGCTCTTAGACAGCTCCTTCCAGCCACCACCCCCTCCGCTGCAGTGTTCTAAGGAGGATCCTCGAGTCATCACGTCCAATACACTTTGTATTGGACGTGAGGACGCCAAAGTACATACTATCACTGCAGTGTAGGATGAAATAGGCGGGAGGGAGCACTGTGACAGCAGGACGGCTCCCAAGTTCGGCTGAGTAGAACTTTTTTTTAATCTTAGTCCCTAAACACAAACGAGCAGTTAACTCTTGCAGTGCAGGGGTAGCCCCACTGCAAGAGCTAATTAAAATATTGCCTGGAGTTCTGCCTCTCTCCTATGCTGTAGTGGTGGTATGTCCCTCGGCGTTCTAACTTCCAATACACAGTGTATTGGACGTGATGACTCAAGGATTCTTAGACTGCTCCGGTGGAGGTAGATTGCAGCTGGAAGGAGCAGTCTAAGAGCAGGCCAGCTCCAAGGATCAGGTGAGCATACATTTTTAAATTTAACAAGCAGTTAACCCTTGCAGTGTGGGGTTAACCCTGAGAGAGAAAGTTATCTCTCAGGTCTGTTCCTCTGCTCAGTGGGTGGAACCATAGCCAGCCTGCTATTGCAATTTAAAATAGCCAATAGCAGATTGGCTGTTGAAACCCCACCAACTGTGCAGAGGAGCAGACCTGAGAGAGAATGTTCTCTCTCAGGTCCACACCTCTGCTCAGTGGGCAGGCACAACAGCCAGCCTGCTATTGGCTATTTCAAATTGAAATAGCAGGCTGGCTTTTTCTCCCTATATTTTACATTCTGATGCCAGCAGCCAAATCTAGCCGCCAGCCAGCAGCAAGATGTAAACAAAGAATTCTGTTAGCAACTAAATAAAATGTGATTGCTAAGGAAATGTTTTAGTGTGTACCAAACAAACACCAATTTTTTTTATGTGCATCATGCCCACGGGGGGAAAAAATCGGGCACATTTTATTTTTTGCCGCTTGACAGAGTGCTGCATGCTTAAATGCAAGATAATGAGTAGCTAACAGTATTGGGTACTTGCTCACAAGAATAGTGAGTGGAGTGATGACTTACCACTTTGCTGATTGTCCAATCAGCAGTCTGGTGGTGTCGGGGACCAAGTATAACAAAAACCTCTCAGCTGCCATTGCAAATGCCTGCTTTTCCTGCCTGCCCTGTGGACCTCTTGTCTTCTATAACACAGCAGCGCTCATTTTTATTATGACATGTGCAGTGGCAAGGCTGTCTGGCAGAAATGCTTAGATCACAAGTCTGGCTAAACAGAATCACATGCAGAACTGTGCACATATGTATAATACTGTAACTGTGTATTTAGCTACTAGCTTGGAGCTCAAATTTAATAAGCATTCAAAAAACTATAGTAAAACAATGTAAAATCTTGTAGCTATGGATATGAATGTCAAAATAGGTTGAGTTGTCAATACACGTGCCCATGTACAAACTGGTGTACCTATCTCATTTTGCTGCAAATACTTGTTACCCATCTTGGTGATATAGCATTCTGCACCTGCTATAGTGCAACATTAAAGAGGAAGGATTTCACTGTGCAATGCAACAGCCACATTTATGATTTTTGTCCCCCATTTTGGAAATTCTCAACAACATAGATCAGCACTTATCCATCATATATTGGAACAGAACAGAGGTGCTGAAATTAGATCTGAAAAAAAAAACATTGCACAAAGATACTGCAGATTTTTAAAACGTATTTAAAAATGAAAAAGACTCTGCCCAGTCAGGCAGGACCAGGCAATATGTATTTATGCTGAAACACTATAAGGTTGTTTACAGTTATGCATACCTTTGAGGGGGAAAATCTGCTACTAGCTATTCTTCCCCATGGCATCTTTATATGCACATATAAAAATTACATTTACAAAAGGGAAAATATATATACAGCTGTAGCACACTGTCAATATAAACCAGAATCTATCAAAACATACAGTAGGTCTTATAACCCCTTAATGTAGATGGTTTTACGCTGCTTAAAACAGCTGCTTGGCATGGCTAAGCAGATCCTCATAGTAAACAGTCTTTATGTAAGTAATTTAAACCCTGTGCCTCTCTGATATCCAGCATCTTCTTAGATGGCAGTAGATGAAGAGCAGTAGATGAAAACATGTATCGCTGACCCAAAAGTCAAAGAATAAGGGACTTATCAGATGTAGGGAACTGACATGACTGACATCAAGACCTTTAATGATGGTCAAATAAAAGGTGCCCCATAGTGCAGAAATCCAGCAGTTTTTTTGCAGTAAAGGTTTATACTCTATAACAGACAGACAGACATGCCACGCAAGAACTAAAACAACCATTCCTCAACCAAACATTATTTATTCATCATTGGAGTGTAAAAATATATCTTGGACAGCCAGATCGTACTTACGATCATCGAAAGCCCGCCCCGCTGAGGGCCGGGCTTCCGAAGACCGCAATGCTGAACGGGCAGTGTGCGCATGCGCACACCGGCCCATTCCGCAGTTGTTGAACGAGCAGGCTAGCATGCTGGTTCGACAAAAGACGTGCGACCGTACAGTACAGTACAGTGCAGTAAAAACAGTCACACGCCTTCCATACACCTTGCGATTATCGTACGATCGCGGGATTTCCCCGTGATGATCGTGCAATAATCGCAAGGTGTATGGGCACCTTTAACTGTGTGGATGGAGTAATCTCCACCTGGGCCAAGCTTCTGTAATCTTGCTGGTCGACCCCGCTGGCTCTCAAAACAACTGAACAATGCCTGCATCCAATCAACTTGTTGAGGTATTTTGACAGCCAATGGGGCCGACCAGCAAGATACTGAAGCTTGGCCCAGCGGGAGATTACTCCATCCACACAGCTGACCACATAAAATCTACAGATATTGTAAGGTGTTTGAGCACCTATACAGCAAGTCCTCTCTTGTGTTTAAACTCATTACAATCAATTCTCTGCAAACTTGCATCCTCACAATATAATCTTTTGAAGCTGCAGTATCTTTCTTGAGCCAACCTTCATTCCCTGTCTGAGCAACCTCCATGATTTATTAAACATGTCTCCCCCCAGATAAAGGGGCTGTCTGGATAATCTCCATGTTTCTCAGGCAGAATATCTACTTCCTGAATGATCTTCCATCCGGAAGTATTGGAAATCAATGGTGAAGCATGACCTGGACACTACATATATTAGGTCAAACCTTCTGCCATACTACAGGCTTTCAAATCTGGTATTTAGGAAGTGCTGTGTAAAGGAAGCATAAAATACCTCTTTAAATTAAACATATCATAATAGGCTATTGGCCATATAGCTGCTGAATCAACACTTTTAATAATAGCTTATCTTTTGCAAATAATAATAATAAAAAGCTAATAATGTTTGCTCTTTCATTTTAAATAAAAACTCCTAACTTCTTAGAGGTCTCTGCATAGCAGGCCTTTGGGCAGACTGTGAGTGTCTCTCTACAATTTCAAATGGACAGTAAACTCTGCCTCTCCCCACAGAAAGAAAAAAGGACACGCCAAGTTTCCTCTCATTAACATACAAATCTTATAGATCTTTAACCCTCTGTTAAGACAGACATTGTTCAAATCTGTTAATTATGGTAACCTCCCCCCAAGAGGAAATGTCAGTTTAGAGGAAAACTAGTGATATGAGAAAACAAGTAATGTGTGAGTAGCATTTTTTTTTTATAACTTATGCTAGATGAATGAGAACATGTAACAAATCTAAAAATAGGTGCTGGAAAAGTGGCAATACACTTTAATAAATGTTTGCTGCATACTTTTGCACCCCACTGCAGCTCTGCCACAACCACAAGAAAAGACAAGGGTATCTATTTTGCACATGTTTCTCTCTAACTGTGGTGCAGGTATGCTGGTAAAGATTTACATGCGAGTGTGCATGAATTTAGGTCTCAACATTCTATAATAAATTATGCTGCACAGGAAACTAACATGTGTTTCACACCCTTTCATTTTTGTTATCAGTATTACTTTTATTGACATTTATGAAACAAGCACATCTAATCCATGTCCTTACCTCTAGATGTTCTAAAATATAGGGGGGGTTGGTCATGCCAAGTCTTAGCATTGCGCCCTCAGGAATAACTTCAACCAGTTTCCATAGGAGTGTTGGAAGGTCAGTGCCAATGTCTCTACCATAAGCTCCTGTGTCTTCACTGGTCAGCCAAATCTCGCAAACACCCTCTGTGAACAGAAGAAATGGTTGATTATAAGTCTTTGTTTTTTACATTTTAATTTATCATACAGCTGTTCCATTTTAATTCTGGGTTTCACAAGGCTATTATGCAGCCACTCTGGACTTTGCATTGTAATGAAAGGGACTGAAGCCTATCCCCTGGGCAGCAATGGGTTATTAAGTTCATTTTTTATGATCTCTATAGTGCTGGAACAATACAGTAAATGATTACTGTGTTCCAGGTGGAGATTTACATTTACAGCTCATGAACAGCATATGGCAGTGAAATCATCCTATCTAATCACACACACTGAATTTTCTGGTCATTGTGTAATACAAATGACAAACCCAACAGCAGTCTCAAAGTGTATTTGAAGCAGCAGAACACAATTTGAATAAGCATAGATGTAGGTTTATGTTCACAAACATGTTACGCAAATATAATGTTGAGTGTGAAGCAGCCACACACTGAAACAAATATGTCCCCAACAAGTTCTAGCAGGCAGAAATAGCTGGTTACCAAAAGGGTGTGTTTCATCTACAAAGAAAGCTGTGGTTTTTCTACTATGCTGTGGCTATTTTTCATGGCTGTGTTTTAAGATGTCAATAATCTTTAAGAGTAGTTTTAAGGAAAACTCCCCTTTCATTAAAAAAGGTAATGCAGCATATAAAATTGCCCCACAAGCCATTTTGAAATTAAGGTACACAAATAATTACAAGAGCCAGGGAAGGTTTCCACTTCCACAGCTGAGCAGTACACGACAGTACCTCCCCCGCACTCTGATTTTGAGGCAATAGGTGGGTCAAGAGTTGACAGCAATCACGGTGGGGTATGCAATCTACCTGATCAATCTGTTGCCGACCCACATCTCATAGTAAGTGTAATATGCTGCTTGGACAAAACTGACTATATTGGATGTCTGTTCAATAAAGGTGGCCATATACCTATCGATTATTGTTAGCTTTTTCTTTTTGTGCTGTCATCATACCCTCTTTTGGTTTCCGCTCGAATACCCATCATGCACAGATCAATGTTTCGATAATTGTCTGTTAGCAATACAAATTCACCAAATTCTGTCGATTGACAGGCCAGATTTTAATTTGTGCATACCACTAATCCATCAATTTTTTAGCCGAAACATGTTTTCCAGCCTGACCGATTGAGGAAATTCGGCCAGGAGTACAGTAAAAAAAATTGTTTGGTTCCCATCCACTTATCAATTATTGTATGAAAGACTATTTGTGGACGATTTCAAAACGATAATCAATAGGTGTATGGGCACCTGAAGTCTGGGTAAATCTTGCGTACAAAGCCCCAGAAAGCAGTTAAACCTCAAAAGGAGTTTTAATTCTCCCCACCATATTCAAAACACTATAAAAAATAAACAAAACAAAAAAAGGTTTTGGCTTGACATACACTTTCCACAGTCATTCTCAACCAAGGTTTTGTGGTGTTTCTGAAGATGTTTCTAGGGTTCCTTGAGCAATGGCTGATTGACCTCTCATCTGATAGTGTCTGCAAAGTTCCCGGAAAAGCCAGTAGGATGGTACCAGTCATTTGTTTAGCTGTCTGTTAAAGTGACATTCCTGTCATTGGCACCAGTGTAAGGGGTAATCTTCCCACTGAAATAGTGTATCCTTCATATGTCCTTCCTCTCATTTAATATAGATGTGGGCAGGTATCTCTCTCACTAACCATAATGTAAAGCAAAGGTAGTGAAATAACATTTGTGGGGGGAATTTATCAAACTAATTGCAAATGTTTTTGCCTCTAGGCTATTTTTTTTTATGTGCATATCTGTTTAGCTGCTCCTTTTAACATGTGTGCCCATTTTGACCAGAGTAGGGCTGCAACAACTAATCGATGACATCAATTATAATTGAATCTCATTACCGATTAGTGATTGTTCGATTATTTGCAGCCACTGCTACTCTGCTCCTCAGGGCCGGACTGGCCATAGGGCCGGACTGGCCATAGGGCAAATCGGGCCGGCCCGAACACAATCAACCTGATTGTGTTCGGGCCGGTTTGCTATGCCTGATAGCCGGCACTTAGCAGAGCCGTCACTACTACACAGTAGACACTAGAGGGAGCTGGTGGGGGAGAGCATGGTGTATACATTTGTTACATTGGCGGTCATTGTTAACACTTTCGTCCTATGCCCGAAGCTGCTGGCCGCCGAAGGGTGCGGGGGCAGGGAGATGGTGCCGTCAACGCACATGTAAAGATACGCAATAGGTTTACATTCAGTTAGGAATCAATCACTCTCCCTGGACGCGTCGATTGTGCATTCAGGGAGAGTGTTTTCTAACCGCATGTGATCATATCACATTCCATTACATGCGGTGTGCAGGAGTTTACATGGAACCGGTGCCTTCTTACCGTGCTTCCACCAGCTGCCTATCTTCCCCTTCTGAGACCCTTTGCCCGAGACTTCAGGCTGGTACCCCGGAGCAGAGCAGCAGCACAACAGCAGTATGTACCAAATTCATATACTATTATTCTGCATTGCTGTATAATGTTTTGCAGGGATTTTTAGTCCTCTATAGCTGATGGTATTCTGCATTAGAGTGTAAGCTCCTCTGTACAGAGACTGATGTGACTTCTCTGTGTAGCACTGCGGAATATGTCAGAGCTTTATAAATGTATAATAATAGTGTGTGACTGTGCGGGGGACATTAGAGTGTTAGCTACTTTAGTGCATAGAATGCCAGCGGGGTTGGGGGGCCAGTGAGATCTGATTCTCTATAGCAATATGTCTGTGAAGGTTCACATTCATCCAGGTCATGGTATATCTGTAAAAAATAAGTCAAGGCAATGGGACTTTCTGTATTTTTCTTGAAGACGTTTCACTGGTCATCCAACCAGCTTTCTCAATTCAGAAATTTCTGAATTGAGAAAGCTGGTTGGATGACCAGTGAAATGTCTTCAAGTAAAATACAGAAAGTCCAGTTGCCTTGACTTATTTTTTACAGATATTCTCTATAGCAAGCTTCCTACATTGTTGCAAGGTTTGTGTATTGGTTGTAGCAGGGCTTGTGTGTCAGCTGTAGCCCTCCGGGACTTACTAGTGGCCGGCCCTGCCCCTCGATTGCGCTTCTGTGTTTGGCTCCGCCCCCTGTTGTGAGGGGTGGGGCCTGTTGGTGGTCACGTGATTGGGCTGCTCAGTCTAAAATGCCCAGGCCTATTGTTAGTCCCAGTCTGGCCCTGCTGCTCCTCTTCGCTGGTGCTAGCTGCAGCAGTCTGTGTCCCTTTCAATCCCCGCTGCTCTCCCTGCCTGTATCGGCAGAGGGGACACAGACCACTGCAGCCGGCACCAGTGGGGAGAAGAGACTGCTGTGACTCTGCATCCCCCCTCGTACCTCCGCCACCTGCCCCGTGCCCACTCTTCTGCCATTGTTCTATCAATCCCTCAGACTCGCAAAATTTATAGACCACATTATTTAAAATCCCTCCCATAGATAAGCACCTGTATTATCAGCCTGCAAACAGGAAGGGGACAATTGTTGAACAGAAATGAAGCCAGTAAAAGGTATTAACATAAAGGATTGTTTTAGGGTAAAAATCCTGTGTATTGGTCCAACCCAGAATACTATACAATCTTCTGGTTACGAATAGCCTAACAGAATATAATGGACACTACATTGTCTCCCGTTTATCTAATATTTAGTTCTCTTTGATTTTTTTCTCATCTATTTATTTTCAAAGGAAAAAAGAAGGAAAAAAATGATACAATTTAGAGCTACACATGTTTACGCTCCTGTAAATGGTACTGTAATTGTCTCACTTGCAGGATGGAACTCACTTCAAATGAACATCTATCTCTCTATCATCAAGATCATTTTGGTACTAACACTCCATTAGAGTGCCTGTGCTGTAGTGATACTGTATATGTTGTTTAATGGAATAGGAAATTGAGCGGTCTGTGTCCCTTTCAATCCTCGCTGCTCTCCCTGCCTGTATCGGCAGAGGGGACACAGACCACTGCAGCCGGCACAAGTGGGGAGAAGAGACTGCTGTGACTCTGCATCCCCCAGCTACCACCCCCCCTCGTACCTCCGCCCTGTGCCCCCTCTTCTGCCACTGGTCTATCAATCCCTCAGACTCGCAAAATTTGCAACTGCCACTATTTTATTACAGGGTGTTGGCTTTCAGAAAATACATATTGTTTTGGGGGGTTTGAAGTAATTTGCAGGCCCAAAATGTGGATTATATCATGTGTGCAAAAAAAAAAAAAAAAGGGCCTTGGCAGCGAAAGGGTTCTTATGGGGTTAACCTGACAAACAACCACCACTATCATAGACAACTGTGTAAATTGTATGCTCAGGCCTTGAACATGTTATCTGTATAGTTAACTCATACACACACCTAAAATGCTAATATCTATTATTTTGAAACAAAATGTTTACAATTTTGCAGACAACTGGATATGTTTTCACCATATGGAATAAAACCTAAAATAAACACCAATGTTTTTCAATTTCTGCAGTGAAAAAAAAAAAAACTAGACTAAACTCCACAGCACTGAAAATATATCTAACATCTCAAGAGTTTCTGGTATAGAAACACTGCAAACACAATTGGAAATACAACTATGCCTTTAAACCTTTTAAAGAAACCCTCAGTAGCAACAAACTTGATGAAGGCCTTTAGGAGATTGATGGAATATCCATACCTGTCTAGCCGTGTATACAAGCACAATATCGGTAACCAGCACAGCATACCTTTTCTTGTAAATAGCTGCATTAAATAGAAGTTAGCATGCTGGTGGCTTGGGTTCTTCAGATGGGAAGCAGCCCTACACTTCTGTGTCTCACAAAGATTTCATAACCATGAAGAGATGAGCACCATCAAGAGATAAGATATCTCATAAGTATTTAGCACTATGCCATGACAATATTTAACAGTTCACTCTCCAAGAAATTAATCAAAAAATCTTTGATCTGCTTATTAAGAACTGGAAGAAAGGATGTTACATTTGTATATTTACTAAACACATATACAAAT